AAAAGCCTAATTTTAGTGGTCTACTTGCAACTTATCTTTTGTCTTTGTTCTTCAATCGTGAATATTGTCGGGAGTACATTTGGTCTTGGATTTATTTTTTTTTCCCCGGAATATGCATGCCATGGCTTTTGGAATATGAAACGTCAAGAAAAAGAATAGTTATTCATTTGTGGGGGACAAATGAATTATTTTAGCTTGGAATATGCCTGATATGGCTGAATGACCCCATATTGACGTGTATCACCGTTCTTGAAACATCCTTTATTAAGGCCCACTGAGGGTGCACAAGAGATTTGCTTCTGGTTTATTTTCCATCGCTGCTTCTTTATTTTAAAGTTCATAATACCCAGTATTTTATTTTGAGCATCAAAGGTATTTGCAGTTCGCATGTGAAACCCTATTAAACTCCCTGGTTAGGTTTCGGTACTTTGTGCTGCCTATTACTGAATGTACAAATGTTCCTTGAGTCCCTTTCACTATTTTCATGACTACTTGGTTTAGCTAGGCTATTTTCCCCTCTTTTTTATATCTTTTATTAACTTCTACCTGCTCATTTTGTAGTGTTCCACTTTGTTCTTAATTGTTCATTGTTGTACTCCATGGTTAATTTTTATTGCAGCATTGGAGCCTTCAGGGTGAAGAGGGAATGCACACTGTTCAGAGAATACTGCGACAAAGAAAATATTGAAGGGTATGGATCTCTCTCTCTCTCTCTCTCTCTCTTCCATAACATCTCTTCATGTTTTCTCCATGACAACGTATCGTCCCTGTTGTGATTTTCCACTAGGCATCACCTGTGTGACCTTTGGTACTTGGACGTTACGTTTTGATCATCCGACACCTTACATGAACTCCAAATAGGCTTTGCAGCTAACTGCAAAAGAGTCGTAAAACATTACCAGTTATTCTTACCCCATGTAGGAAGGATTTCTTCAACTGCAGGCCCACGTTAAACCATATCTTGATCAGTGTTCTCTCAACTTGTCTGGTTCAATTAAAAGTTTTAAGATTCTCTGATGAGAACTTGTGCTCGTTGTAGAGCACTTGCACCGTGTTAGTAGAGCTCTAAAAGCAGCAGGCTACTGACATTGTCTAAAGGGGCTTTTTCTCTGCAGATAAAGGGGTGGGAAAATGGCTGAGTGCGGGAGTTAGGAACCTCGATAATTCAAAAGGGAAAAAAAATCAATATTTTTTTTATGTTCCTCTTATTGAATCTTCGTTTATGGGTGCAGATGTGTGAAATCATTCCAAAAAGTGAAGAGGGAGCATGCTGTTTTGAGACAAAAACTGGAGGCTTATTTCCAGGTCAATAAATAATCTACTACTTTGAATCTTTATAATAACACATCAAATTCCTTCTTTTGTGACTATGATCCTTAGATTCCTTTCCCACTCACAACTTGTATTTATCCTTCAGTTGTTGAGACAAACCGGCCCTGTTGAGCGAGCTACTCGAGCTAGCAACTGAGAACATTGAACAAACCCACTGCCTGGCTCTGGAAGTCTGTTGAGCATGTATAGTAATTCTCGTTAGGAGAATAAGCAAGTGATGCGTGTTCTAAGTTAGAAATCCGCAATATATGATGTTTCTGTTTCTACATTTGCAATCAAAGCGATCAAATGTATGTTATCATAATTATCACTTCAATGCAGTTACTCGCTTCAAATTTATGTTGGCATAATTATCATTTCAATGCGGTTTCTCGCTTCTTACATGTATACCCTCACGTACTCAGTGTATGATAACATTCTCGGAATTCTGCACGGCAGCATCTCAGTTTTACCGGTAATGACATGAAAAACTGTATAAAATTCAAGCTAGTTTGGATATAATAGATAAAAACCTGCCTGGCGGTATTAAAAAAAAAGTTTATATATGCTGTGTCTGATGGTTTCGTTTGATCAAATTGGTTGGCAAATATTTCAGATGTAAGGTTGCATAAATAATTAAAACTGGAAAAGGCAAAAACCTTACCTATCACTTTCTTTTCAGATGGCTTGGGTCCCAATCAGAGGATCTCACCCTAAATTATTTGATCAGAAATCCACTAATAAATTCAGAGGATAGAAAGAAGTTAATCTTCAATATGTAAGGCCTGGATCTCTTGAATTTCTCAACGGTAATGCAACTTTTTTCCTCTCTTTATTTGCCTACGTTTATCTTGATGTAATTTGATGCTTGAACTATTCTCACGCTTGGGCTTAGCCTTTTAGCTCTAATGTACAATTCAGTCAACATCACCCATATCTTTTATCTATACGTAGGTGGGCAAAATTTTAAAACAGACCCCTTTGCAAAAATATTCCCCAAAAAAGACCTGTTTTGAAAATATTCGCAAAAAACGACTTAGTTTTAGGGGTGAGCACGGTTCGGTTCGGATCGGTTTTTACCAAAATTTGAACAAGCGAACCGAACCATCTACAATTCAAAACCGAACCGATCCATTGCAAATCGGTTCGGTGCGATTCGGTTCGGTTTGTTCGGTTCTAACTTCATCAAGTATAACTTCACTTTAATTTATCTTTTATATATTCTTATTACCCTATGCCAGCATGTATTTATTTTTTAACTTTACTTCAATTTATTATTCTTGCTCATGTATGTATACTGTTTTTAAGTGAAGTAACTTGTTCTTTTTGGATTAAATACTAGACTCTGACGTTGTAATTTTTTAGTAATGGACTTGCTTTGTCTTTGGGTAAACGGGTAGGGTTTGAGGCAGGGGAATATATTCGGTTGGTTCGGGTCGGGTCGGTTTGAAAAATTATCGACCCGACCCGACCCGCCTTACTCATAAAACCGCTTTTTTCGGGTCGGTTCGATCGGTTTTTTCGGTTTGAACCGAACTGTGCTCACCTCTACTTAGTTTTAGCCTCAGGGCTGAAACTGGGTCGTTTTTTGCGAAAAATATTCCCAAACTTCACAGGAGTTAACTCCCGTGAAGTTTGGGAACATTTTTCGCAAAAAACGACCTAGTTTCAGCCGTGAGGCTGAAACTAGATCGTTTTTTAAAAATAAAGTGGAAACGAGTCTTTTTTGGGGAATATTTTTTGCAAAGGGGTCTGTTTTCAAAATTTGTCCATACGTAGGTACAAAATATGATTTGTCATCCATTTAGCAAAGTGAGCTACCAAAAATAGAAGGACAAATTTTCAAAGCCGACCATTTTCAAAAATATTTCCAAAAAACAATCTGTTTTAACAATATTTGTCAAAACCGACCTAGTTTCAGCCATTGGGCTGAAACTGAGTTGATTTTGACAAAAGAAGTTCCTAAAGTTCATGGGACTTCAAACATCACGGGACTTAAAGTCTCGTGAACTTTAGCAGCCATTTAATTAAGCTGCTAAACTTCTGAAGTTCGTTTCAGCTCTAAAACTTCCCGTAAAGTTGTTTTGAACTATGAAACTTCACGAGACTTGAAGTCCCGTGAAGTTTAGCAGCTTAGTTAAATGGCTGCTAAACTTCACGGGATTTCAAGTCTCATGAAGTTTCATATTTTTTTTCGTCAAAACGGACCTAGTTTCATCCCGACAGCTGAAACTAGATCGGTTTTGACGAATATTGTTGAAATTGGTCGTTTTTTGGGAATGTTTTTTGTAAATGAGACTGTTTTGAAATTTTGTCCAAAATAGAAAGTTGGGGTCTAAACTGTTTGGATGTGACTAGAATGATTCACATGTTGCTTTCAAAGGCTTTCACCTCCCTTGAAATCGCAGGCGATTGATTAGGAGTGATCCATAATAAAATCTATAGACGTCAGTTCTCGTTTAATGCTGAAATCAATAGCACATTGCACACAAGAGACACGCAAGTAATCAGTTAAATTTAGACCATAGATGTACGTACCTACATTAAACATAGAGACAGTAGGAACATTTGCACAAAGAGATTACGTTTGAAGACTAGCAAGATTGAAGAAGTCTCCTCTCTTGCTCATAAGTTGGGCATAAGTTCCTCTTTCCACAACCTTCCCTTCTCTAAGAAAGGCGATAGAATCCAGATTCTTGATCGTGTTGAGGCGATGAGCCACTACTAAGGTGGTCCTTCCGACCATGATTCTGTCAAGAGCTTCCTTCACTATTTGCTCGGATTGGGCATCAAGAGCGCTTGTGGCTTCGTCGAGTAGTAGTATTGTTGGATTCCTTAAGATGGATCTTGCGATTGCAATCCTTTGTTTTTGGCCTCCTGATAGTTGTAGTCCTCTCTCTCCGCAGTCCGTGTTGTATCCATTTCTCAGCGATCTGCATGGTAAAAAAAAACACTGAAGTATCAGGGTTTATTCCGTTAGGAGTAATTGAAAGCTTATGCAAACTTCAAAAACATTTGTTTGGTTGAGTGTCTTCTTAATTCCAAAAAAGTTGCAAAAGGGTAAGTTTCACAAAACCCCCTTTTATTTGAGCCATTTTTGAGATGATTCCCCCAAACTCTATAAATGTCACCTAAACACCTTAACTTTTGGGTTTCTCACACAGCACTCCGAACATCTTCAAGTATTGCAAATAACCGTCAGCCCAATTTTTTGTTAGACGAAAATACCCCTCAGCAAAAACATTCTCATGAAAAATTTATGTAACTTAAAAAACCAAATCATCTTATCTGTAATCCCTAAGAAAAACCAAAATGGGGTTTTGGGATTAAAATAATTAAAAAGGTCATGGAAGGGGTTTTTCTTTTCGTGAGGGACTTTTTAGTCATTTGTACGCATGTGATTTTGACATACACATCAGAGCTAACGAAGTCAGCCAGGGG